ATGCATTTATTGCAGGTAAATGATCCTCCCGTTCGCAAAGCTGGAGGATTTGTTGAAGATGTACCCGCACTGATAGCTAAACTCAAGGAGAAAGGTTTTGTCAAAAGTTAGGTGCTCTTTATAATAGTAAGATGACATGTTATTTGTTCACCTTTCAAAAATGACAGTAGGCATTTTGATAGACTACATAACCTCTCACACGTGTCTTAAGCTATTTACTTACGGTTTTGGCATAGATTGAATAAATATTTATTTGATTTTTTACAGCTAATGGCATAGTAGTCAATGAGATCACAATAGTTAACAACACCCTTTCGACAGAGTGCTAGAGAAAAATTTAACACTCAACGTGTTACATAATTCACCGATAATAAAACAATCTTGAGCGTCAAACTAAACATGAGAAATGGTCCAAAAATGACATCAAAGCCCTGCAGCAAGTAAAACATCAGCGAAAAAAACGATGCTTGTAGCGAAAAAAAAAACACTGGTAAGTGAAAAGATAGCTCAACAACGGCAATTATTTCGGAAGCAAGAACGAGGCACTTTGTATGACTTCCTTCACAGCTTGCAATACGTCTTCGTTAGGAGCATCGCCATTCGCAAGTTTAGTGAGAAACGCAACAGTTTCCTCAGGGGTTTGAAGGTTGTATTCTGAATTTGAGTTCTCGTATAAAAGCGTAAGTTTACATAATTGGTATATGTATTTCAATTATGAGTCACAAGTCATAGACTCAATGTGTACATGCAAAAGCACAGTGTTTACTTGCTTTACTCGGATGTGCTCTATTCTCAACAACAGCTAAGAGTGGAAATGATAGATGAAAAGGGCTACTCAGTTCAGCCTACGTCGTTATTGCACTGCTTCTTTGTGCTGTAACTTCGGAATCAGTTGTGACAACGTTACAATTTAAGAATGAGTCAAGAGTTCTAACGTGAGCGTTGCGACTAAATATGCGTTTTTTTTTTTCGCTCACCACTGCGTGTTAATCAATCAGATTCGCGGAAGGTTCGATAGAGATAGACAATGACACCCTGCTAGAAAGTAAATTCTCTGATCTTGACAGGACGGCTTTGAAGGCTTCATGAAAATTGCGCTACGGAGTGCAGACGCCACTTAGCAAAGTAACCTATATTAATGGAAGAAGTGTTTTGAATGGATACTCACCGCTATTACAAACTGTCCAACTCGCATCGTGGATGATGAGTAATAACGCAAAATGGAATCCATTAAAGCTACATTTTGAGATCAAAAAACTTCG